CTTGGAAAATTTGTGCTTTCTAGTGAGAAAGAATTACAGAGACATGTTCCATTGTACTGGTGAAAGTTTTTGGGACAGACTATCTGATAACGGGAGCAAATCTGGAGATTTGATGATCTGGACAAACTTGTAGTTCTTACGCAAGATTGGCGTCCTTTCCTCTGCACTGGGAATACTGTGCTTTCCACAAGGTCGGTCCACAAGATGCCTGGTGGATGAAGCTACCGTGCAAAATGTTGGCCTTCTGGGATAGCTATTGTATTAGATCGTAAAAGTGAAAACAAGTTCTTCCTCCCCCTGTGCCAGGTTCTTGAATGTGTTATTGTAGCTCTACCCAGGAGGAGATGGAGTCTTCTTTCCTCCCTTGGGTCTGGGCTGGCCTGATGAACTGCTTTGCCAAGGAGGCTGTGACAAAGATGATACAAGCTAAGACTTGGAAGGTGCTTCTCTGTTGCTGCTCTTAAAAGCCCGTGATTGCCACCCTAGGAAACAGCCAGGCGAGCCTGCTAGGTGGTAGGTACTCCCTGACACCCCAGCTTAGAGGCAGCTCATTGCCAGATGAGTGAGGCACGATCCTAACCAACTGACTACAGATACATGAGTCCAGAGGAACTGTCCAGCTGAGCCTAGTGGAGCTCAACCCAAATTGCTAATTCACAGAAATGTGAACTAAATAAATCTGTGTTCTTTAAGTCACTACATTTCTTTTCAGTTCTATACAGTTCTTTAAGTCACTACATTTTAAAGTGGTTTATTCTATTTGCCTACTTACTACATACAGGACAGTTTTCCTGCCTCGGTTCCTTCTCCTGCCATTCCATGGAGTAGTTCTCTTGCTTTATTTCCACGAGGTCCATCTGCTTATTTGATCTTTGGTGTCTCAATCACTGACCACAAAGTATTTAAAGAGTATTGATTGTGTGAGGCACTATGCTAGGCGATGGAGACTCTCAAAGTTAATACACACATTACACCGGATAGTATGGAATGGATTCTGGGCTTCTTTCTGTTCACCTAATTAGATGAAAACAGTTAAAAGATGAACATCATTGAAAAAGACAGAAATGAGGTGGTTAGCACCAAAGAGACAAGAGACAAGCAGGAATGAGTGGCTTGATTGTGACACTCCTCCTCACGTATTATCCACTAGGAATTAGAACTTTTTGTTCATTTGTTTTAATGCCCTAGAGCCGGGCAGAGTACTGAGGGGGAGCTGGTGCTCATTTTTCTTCTCTTCCCCATCATTTCTTTCTATTCCTATTAATGGACCCAATTCCTCAAGTAAGGCTTTTCCATATCCGGGTCCAAATGCTTTTTATTTTTCTGTAACACAGGAGACAGCGTATTTTCATGGTGGTGCTGGGGAGGGTAGAGAAAAATCAAAGCCCAGACCAAAGCCAACAGAAACCAAAAACAGGCTTCGGATTTAAGTAGATTTGGTTTGAAACTCAGCTCTGCCATTTGGTGACAGTGAAATCAAGTCTCAATTTAAAAAAATATGTAGGGTGAGGGTATATCCTCTATTTTATGGGATGTTGCAAGGCCTTGAGATAAAGATTCAGGCTAACATATTAAACCTCTGGCAGGAAGCTTGAAGTGTCCCCAAGTGATATTTTAGTGATCCCTCAGAACGTGAAGAGCTACACGCAGAGTTACGATCAGTGAAGTTCAGCATTCCAAGCAATTACTGTTTACTGCTTCCACAGAAGGAAGGGGGCAGTTTAAACAAATAGATAAGAGGCATCATCTCAAGATTTCTATTAATTGGGGAGGTATTTGCTATTTTGTCTTGGAGAGAAAACAAAAGATTTGGTTGTAAAGTCTAGGAGGTGCTGGGAATAGGAATACCTTGATCTAAAAATCATTAGGAATTATCTGGATACCAACAAAATGATACTGACAAAAGGATAAAAAATTCTGTTGTACTTTGTAATCAACGTATACATTTGTTCTCTTTTTTTCATATTTTTATTAAAAGACAAGTTTAATTAGGAAAATAGAGGTGAAAACATCATCCATTTTGTTAAAAATATGATAAAATTATAGATTTTCCTACCACCACACAGAGCTGATGAGTTAGAATCTAGAAGGATTATGATGTATGCTTTTTATTTCTTGGGGGAATGGAAGACCGATGTTCTAAAGTGATTCTGTAAACAGCTATTCCTCCCAGCACAGAGCCCCAGTTTCCAATGCTGTTTCTTTTTTTTTTTAATTTTTATTTATTTATGATAGTCACACACACACACAGAGAGAGAGAGAGAGAGAGGCAGAGACATAGGCAGAGGGAGAAGCAGGCCCCATGCACCGGGAGCCCGACGTGGGATTCGATCCCGGGTCTCCAGGATCGCGCCCTGGGCTAAAGGCAGGCGCTAAACCACTGCGCCACCCAGGGATCCCTCCAATGCTGTTTCTGCTTGGATTCCGTCCCACTACTTAACATAGCAGACACAGGATTATTATAAGATTGGCAATAAAACAGTGCCAGTTGTTTTAAAACAAAAACTTCACTCCCTTGGGAAAACAAGTCACCAGGTAAGAGCAATGAAATAAAAATCTTTGATACATGACACGAATCTTTTGAAAGTGAGCAATTGAGAGCACCTGAAATGATCGTCATGTGCTAGGCTGATTTAACTGTTAGAGGACAATCAGCAAAAATAATTAACCCCACATGATTTAGTTTTGGTTCCTTGTTAGTCTTAAGTGTTCTAAATTCTTTGCTTTCTTAAGTTCATACTAACTTAGGTTTATCAAGTTAAAGTAGAATCACTCCAAAAATTCAGAGTGAATGGTGGATTGGAAGGAGTTTAATCATGATGTGAGTATATATTTTATAACTGAAACATAGAGGAACATTCTGAAAGCAAATTTTCGAGTGGTTAAGTTCATAAAACCTAACTATTAAAGGTACTAATGGGACCTCACTTGAATGTCAACGAAGTAATAAGACGCTATAAAATCTGTGGTCCCTTTATTAAAACAACCACACCAACCCACATTACTTGATGCCTCTTAGATACAAAATGTTTGAATTACAAAGTATGTTAAGACAAAATCACTAACAAGTGAAACCTATATTCCATATTCGTTTGTGTACATGGTGACTAGTGTTACTTTTATTTTCCAGCTGGTGGAGAGAGTGTGTGACACCTAGTTTGGCAAAGGTTTCAGTGCATTGGAGCTACAAAGGCACAAAACTTTAGAGCTGGAAGGAACCGTAGTCACCTTGGAAATTATCAGTTGAATAAGAGGCAAAAAATATTGGCTTCAGAACACGACCTTTGAGATATCAAAGTTTGTAAGGGACTTGTGGCTCAGCATCCGATGTTTTTTTGCTTTAGATTTTCTTTTTCTAAATCTATTATTACTACTTGCGGGGACTTGTGGCTCGGCATCCAATGTTTTTTGCTTTGGATTTTCTTTTCTTTTTCTAAATCTATTACTACTTGTGGGGACTTGTGGCTCAGCATCCAATGTTTTTTGCTTTAGATTTTCTTTTCTTTTTCTAAATCTATTATTACTTGTGGGGACTTGTGGCTCAGCATCCAATGTTTTTTTGCTTTGGATTTTCTTTTCTTTTTTCTAAACCTATTATTACTACTTGTGTGTGTGTGTTTTATGATGCTCTAACATTACACTAAGGTTTGCTCATGACCACACTTGATGGAAGCGAGCCTAAGAAGACGGCTGGCGCAATACCGCCTAAACCAGCACCCAGTCTGACCAAACCCGTAAGGACACGACCTTGCGAGGGCCTCGCCATTAAGTTTCTGGGAACAGCAAGAGGTTCCTCTAGCGTGGACGCTGCTGACCTAGGGCCGTGCTGCGAAGTCTTCTCTCTGAGTCGGAAAGAGGTTGCGATCTGTAAAAACGCAGCCTTCTCTGCAAGCAGACGCTGGTTCCCTTTTTCTTAGGGGAAGAAGCTGGGGAGGCCTGCGAAGCTCCGCGCAGCTCCCTGCCCGGGCCGCCCTCTAGAGGGAGACAGAGTCCAGCCTTTGCGCCGCTGCCGCCCGCGCGCCGCCCGTCCCTCCGCCCGCGGGACCGCAGTTTGCTCCGCGCAGCAGCCGCGGCGGCGATCCCGGCGGCGGCTCCCGGCTCCGCTGTCCCATTTCCTGCTCGGCTCCGCCTGGAGTGGCCGGGCCCGCCGTCGCCGTCAGGGGCCCCCCGAGCTCCCGGGGCGCAGGGCTGGGCGGAGCGGGCGCGGGAGCGGGCGCGGGCCTGCCCTCTCGGGCACTTGCCGGGAGGACCCCCGCCGCCTCTTGGCACCGCAGCCCTGGGGGGACCGGCGGGGAGGGGCGCGGTGGCCGACCCGCCCGCTGGGCGCCCCCCCTCTCGCCCGGATTCGGTCCCGCCCCGAGCGAAGTGACCCGGCAACACCTGCTGGAGCTCGCAGCTGCTCGGGGGCGACGGACCCGCCTGCCCTGCGGCCCGCGATGCCCGGGGGCGCGGCGGGGGCGCTGCGTGGGGCTCGGCCCGCGGCGGGGCGCGGCGGCCGCGAGGGGCTGCGGCTGGCCCGGGGGCGCTGCTGAGGCTCCGGGCGCGCGCTGTGCGGGGCGCCCCGGGACCGGCCGCCAGGAGCGGGCGCCAGGGCGCCGGGCAGCGCGGGGCGGCGCGAGGAGCGCGGAGGAGCGAGGAGGAGCGCGGAGGACAGAGGAGCAGCGCGGAGGACAGAGGAGCAGCGCGGAGGACAGAGGAGGAGCGCGGAGGACAGAGGAGCAGCGCGGAGGACAGAGGAGCAGCGCGGAGGAGCGCGGAGCAGCAGGAGGAGCAGCGCGGGGTGTCTCCCCCCGCCGGCGGCCACAGACCCCCTGCAGCCGCTCGCGTGGGCGCCCCGGGAGCCGCGGGACACAGCCTGCTGCGCGGGGGGCCAGCCGAGCGCCCGACCGGCGGTGCGCGGAGCCCGGGAGCCCACCTGCGCGGGGCAAGTGCGCCCTCGGCCTTCAAGGCGGGCGCGTCGGACATGGACTAGGCGGGGCCGCGGGAGCGCCCGGTGGCCGGCAGTCGGGGGGCTGAGCGCGCCGGTGCTCGCCGCCGAGGACCCGCCGGGGCTGCGGGGCCGGGCTTCCCTCCGTCCGCACGGCTTCCCGCTGCGCACCCGGCCCCGCGTTCAGGGTGCTCCCGCCTGCATGGCGAGGGGTTCCTGAGCCGCCCGCGCCCGGAGCAGGGAGCGCGCGCACGCACGCCCCGGGCCGCACTCCCGCCCTCCGCGAGCTCGCAGCCCCGGACGCGGGCTCCTGTGCCCTGAGCGGCGGCGGCCGGGCGTCTCGGGAGCGATGCCAGGGCGGTGAGGCAGGCGCCGGCCCGCGGGAGCTGCAGGAGCGTCGCTAGGTGTTGCCGCCACCGGGAAGCCGGGCTGCAGGTAGGTGCGAGCCGGGGGCGCGGGGTGCCGGCAGGTGCAGGGGGTCGGAGCCGGGGTGCCGGGGAGGCGCGGGGTGCCGGCAGGTGCAGGGGGTCGGAGCCGGGGTGCCGGGGAGGCGCGCGGTGCCGGCAGGTGCAGGGGGTCGGAGCCGGGATGCCGGGGAGGCGCGCGGTGCCGGCAGGTGCAGGGGGTCGGAGCCGGGGTGCCGGGGAGGCGCGCGGTGCCGGCAGGTGCAGGCAGGGTCGGAGGCGCGGGGCGCCCGGCAGATGCCGGCAGGTGTCCTCGGGGCGCTCAGGGGCGGGGCGGGGGTCGGAGCCGGGTGGCCGCGGGCTCCGGCCGGGTCCCCCCGGGACCCCCTCCAGCCCCCACTTTCCGTCCACTTTCGAGGAGTTGCTTGCAGGCTGCGCGCCCCGGGCTCCGCACCTCCCCGCCCCGCCGGCCCGGGCAGGGTCCTCCGGGGCAGCTCCGAGCCGCCTGCCTGACCGGCCCCTCGGGTCGGGGAACGGACGCTTCACGACTGAATGAGCCAAGTCCGCTTAGGGAAGGGCCCTACAGGGGAGCGTTAGGGAAAGGATGGTCCTGCCAACCGCGTTCAGAGGAAGAACCGCTTCGAGGAACGAAGGGTGGTGCATTGGCGGGGTTTGTGCTCCCCCCCTTCCTGCGAGGTGCCCCGCGGCGCCTGCCCCCTTGCAGGCCCCCTTGCAGCCCGAGGGCAGGTTGCTGCCTACAGGGGGCTCCTGCAGCTCCCGGGCTGCCCCTGCCAGTGGGGAACGTGTTGTTTCCAGAAACTGCCTTTGCAAAGGAAAGTTTGACGTCCGCCGGCCTGTGTCTCCTGCAACTGCAGGCGGAGCCCCCTGGTCTCTGCTCGCAAGGGACGAACCCCGGGCGCCTGCGGAGCTCGCGGCGGGCGCGACGCCCCCGGTTCGGGTCCCGCGCCCTGACGGCGTGTGAGCCGCCACGGCTGGCCGCGCGCCTTCCCCGAGTGCCGGCTGGCGCTGCTTGTGGCCATCAGGAAAGGAAGGCGGGGGGGGGGGGGGGGGGAAGAAACCTTCGTTTTGTGAGTGTTTAAATCCCTTCTTGAATTTTGCAAGGACGATTTTTGAAAAAGCAAAAGCCCCATATGCCACCTTTCCTCCGAGAAGGGACCCCCAAAGCGGTGGGTGTGTAAGGGCCCTTCACCCAGCACGGGATGGATTGCGAGGACTATTGACTGCGTGATAATGATCTGGTTCCCGTCTTCCCGACTAGACTGTTGGAGACATCAATAATCAGACTTATCAATTAACACTTTAAAACTGCTCTATTAGGCGATGTAAGTTAAGACAAATGAGTAATTTAAGATTTTTGTGTCAAGGTGCTAAATGGCAATAACTGGCGAAGGAGATTAGAAACACCTTTACAGCCCTTAAAAAAAAAAACAGCATTAAGATGCTTTGTATTTATTCCAGCCTTTCCGTGTGTGCACATGTATTCGCAGACGGCTGAGCATTTTACACTTTCAAATTTGGTACCTAACGGCCTTAAAAATGATCAGAGGCATTTTTCGGCTTTCCTACTTTATCTGCTCAGGATCTCATCCAGAGTCGGTTGTTTGCATGGACCTTTTTAGAGTCCTAATTTTTAAAGCCATCAGTAGCCATTGAAAGGCCATCAGTAACCACACTGGAGTTCAATTTTATTTTAATTTTCGGTGGAAAAAAACTGGGTCACATCATTTGTACATATAATGCTATGAGAACAGGGTCACTACCAACTGCATGCTTAGGCACAGTGACTGTTAAGAGGAAGAATGCAGTTTTAGTGTGTGGTTTTTTTTAGATGATGCATTTTTTTGAGACTAAAATCTTGATTCTTTTCTTGCCTTTAATGAAATTGTGTAGTTGAGGATTCTTGAACTTATTTATATATGCTGCTATGATGTTTCTTAAAGAAGATTCAAAAAGCACCTATAATGCTACAAGTTGTGCCCAAGGGGAATCTAAGCTTTCTGAATATGTGTGATTTTTGAATTGGAAAAATGTTAGTGATTTTAACAATGATAAATTGGAGAATGCAGATTCATTGAAATGCCCATGGATCTGTGACAAAAAAAAAAGATACATATTGCTTAGAGAATGCATTATAGTATTTACTAACCACTAGGTTACAAGATGTGATGACACAGCGGTAAAAAGATCTGTTTTTAGACATGGCCACTTTTCCTTTTTAAAAATTTATAAAGTATTGAAACTTAGAGGTGATAAAAGATTTTATAAAAATTATTATGTATGAATATTATCAAAATGTTTTGGTGGTCCCGGATCCAGTCTCTTCAAGATCACATCTTAATGATGATCTTTTTTGTAAAATGCTTTTTTTTTTTTTTTTTTAATTTTTTTTTTTTTTATTTATTTATGATAGTCACACAGAATGAGAGAGAGAGGCAGAGACACAGGCAGAGGGAGAAGCAGGCTCCATGCACCGGGAGCCCGACGTGGGATTCGATCCCGGGTCTCCAGGATCGTGCCCTGGGCCAAAGGCAGGCGCCAAACCGCTGCGCCACCCAGGGATCCCTGTAAAATGCTTTTGAATATTGAAATGTTGAAAGTGCATTTTGGGGTTGATGTAGCCTAATTGCCGGTATGGATTACCCTATACACATAGGGGACGATGTGCCTCTTCCAGGCATCATCATGGGCCGTAGTAAAAGGTATTATTGGAGTCTGCTGAAGTTCAGCTGTGGCTGCAAACTGATGATCATTCGACTATCTGATGTGTATCCCAAACTAGGAATGTTCCAAAGTGTCATCAGCTACTTCTAATAGATTTGAGAAGATGAAACAACCAGAGTGCCAACAGTTCAGTGCCCCCGCTTTTACTTCTCCAGTATTTTATTAGGGATGCCTCATTAAGTCGTATTATTCTGCAGCTGTTTTGTTCATTGAAGATTCAAGTAAAAATAAGGAACTTGACTGTGGAGTGCAGTTCTGTTTTCTTGGTGCAAAACCCCAGGCTGAAGTAAAATAGGCCTGGAAGGTAGTCCCCTGTGATCTATACCTGACATTTACAAATGCAATTCATCAACCTGTCATTAGTGGGGCTCCATCAAAACAAAGAAGACATGCATTAACACAGGCTGCTGCTAGATACCAAGGCCAGACTAGCTAAACCAACTTCATATCTGGTCTACATACTTGTACAGTATTTGACATGATTTATCTTGCTTACAAACCATTGTTTTTTTTTTAATGCTGTGTAATATGGTGCATTTGCCATTTTGTTCCAAAATTCTTTGGTTAACTTTATTTTAAACTCCTTGAAGCATATTGAATGATACCACCGGAAGAACGGGAATCATTTCACAAGGGAGTTACCGTAAGTCTTTTTAGGCAAAAGTTTTACCTTCGATTTGGAGCATAGTCTGAAACAGGGGAAGATGGAAAGGTGGGCGCAGCCCTCAGAATTAGAAGTTAGTTTTTATTTCTTAGTTGTCATTGGCCACTGCTTTGTTTGGTCATTTTTAGAAAGTCTGATTCTATCCATTTGGCACAGTGATTCGGGTGTCCTTGTCAATGAAATATAACTGATAATGCTTGTTTCTACTTATTTTTAACAGAAATTTAACAGAGTTGGCATGTGAAGAAAAGTATTTAAATCTATATCACTGTATTATCTATCTCATCTTTATAGCTCTCTTTCTCTATCCAGATGCATATGTATATGTGCATTTAATGGCATCCGTGTAAAATACTGGTTTTGTGTGGAAGAGGAAAGAATGACTTTCAACAAAGTCTGCATTTTATGCTTTTTTTACATGATTTGACTTACAATGCAACTGAATCTAAGGTTTAACAAGGTCATTTATGATTCAGTTTTACTGCTTGAACCAATGTTGCATGTAGTGTATTTTTCTCTTTAGTTTTTCTTTTGGAGATATTCTCGTGAGGTTACAAATGCAAAAAAAAAAAGTCATCTTTGTCATTTATGTAAAGGTGCTTGGGATGTGTTTATTGACCCTGTGACTGGGAATTTCAACACATTTAAAAGACTGAATATATTTGTATGCCATCTCTATTAAATATGCGCCTCCACAGTTAAACCAGGCATTACATTAGAGTATACTACTCTGATTTACAAATGGTATCTGTAAATTTTCCAGAAAAAATTTCCTTTGCTCTTGTTTTCCGTGTGCTATGTAAAACCTGGAGAGTGCACAGTTATCTTTTAATGAACGCAAGGTTAGTTTCACTAAATATTTTTGTTTTTTTTCTTTTTTTTAATTTTCTTGCTGTTATGCACTATTGATACACTCCAAATTTGTTAGATTTCCCAAACCCACCCACTTCCAAAGTGTATGCCACGTGTATATGTTGCATTTCATCCTGTGCTGTGATAGGCAAGCTAGTCACTGGAATCCGTGAAATTCTGGCCTATTTAGGCAATTGATTGATATTGCTTTTGGAAAAAGAGAAGACTTTCAGGTTACTTTTTGATTCAGATGAAAACAATGTGTAAGCTATCAGGAGAATATTCCATCTTGTTCACAGTGATCCATATGGGGAATGAGATAGATATAACTGAGGAATCAGATACTATATGCTCATGTTAGATAAAGCTCTTTAATCACTTCAGTTTCCTAAATTATTCCATAGGAGCTGTAAATAATTGTCTTATGATTTCCCTTGAAGGGCCAGTAAGCAAAGGTACATCTCCCTTTCTTTTAGCACAAGCTCAATTAATACAATTTATATTGTTTAATACAGTAAATTTTGAAATTCTTCAGAGTCGTTGGTTAATGTGATAATGTAGTCTTAGTAGTTATGGTGGCGGGCTGAATTTAGTACTTTGACCAAGTGAGGATAGGTGGACAACAAATTTCCTTTGCTCTTGTATTTCCGTGTGCTATGTAAAACCTGGAGAGTGCGCAGTTATCTTTTAATGAATGCAAGGTTAGTTTCACTAAATATTTTTGTTTTTCTCTTTTTTCCTTGCTGCTATGCACTAGTTCCTGTATAATTGCA